CGTCTAACACTGCATTGTTAGCTTGCTTGACGTCATTTTTATGTTTAAAAAAATAATTAGGTGTATGCTATTCAGGTATTTTCAAGATTGTTGAACACCAGAACGTAGGTCTTCGTGACAGATAACCGAAGTTTTTGTTTTGAGTTTCAAGATTGGTTGATTTATATATCGTTCATTGAGGTGAAGAGAGTGAAGCTTGAAAGCTTGGTACAGGTGTTTTGCTATCCTAGAGTCGACAGGGGCTCTACGGGAGGGATGACAACTATTGAGTCGTCCGCAAACATTAAGACAGCTTGCACACACCGAATCTTTTAATTTTCTTTTTACACTGCACGGAAATACTACTAGGATATGATTACGTGCATTGTGTTTGCATTAGTATAGAACTCTGGATATAATTTGATTTTTGTTATTAACGTAATTAATTTGAAATTTATATTTTATTTATTAAAACTTTTTCTTAATTTTACTCCTTTCATTATGCCAGTAGAGTCATTTCTTGAAACTAAAATGAGAAGAAATATCCCGTTCGTAAATCCCCTGCTTTCATCATGTCGAAGTAAATTGTATGACAGTATGTCGCTCTATAAGATTGAACAGGGCCGCGCGCCGACAACATTTTGCATGTGACGTATACATCTGTGCGTCAGGATGACATCATTTTATCCTCGGGTAATATGCCTGCTTGCTTTGTTGAGTTGATGCATGCTTTCTTAATTATTGTTGCTATTACTTATTGGATTACATGTTGGTCATTCATCCCTCCCCAGTTTGTTACGACCAGTTATTCCAGCTGCGGCATGGTTAGATGATTTCTAGTACCGCCATTATCAATTAAATTAGATGCTGATTTCATTCGTGTTTACATCATTGTCAATTTCACGGTTGGCACATTGGCCATCAGCAATCTCTATCCAGAGTTGTCGTTCCTGACACTCACTACCGCTTAGTACAATCGGGAACCGTCGGCACTTTCCGTAAACGAAAAGTGCCAACGGTTCCCGATTGCCGCTTAGTAATGATGAAATATTCCGTTCTATCCCTAAGACGAATGCATTATGACATCGATATATATAGTCCTGTCCTCTGTTAACAATGTTTTTGATCGTTCATTATCAAACATACCCCATACACATTCCTTTCTTAAAATGCGCCTAATACGCAGCTCTTCTTGCGCCGAAATTGAGAGGCTGATTCAAAGATCAAGTTTATAGAATTATTGCTGCGTGACTTCAACAATGAAATAAGAAGCTATAGGTAATTTAATGAAATTATCAGAAATAACTTTCTGCCTGTTTTCAAGATTTCCAATGCTTGCTAAACATGTCATAGAGAATTACTAAACTGTTGCCAGACCGATAGGTATTCCGTCTTTGCGTATTGCAGAGTTATATTCTCTTGTGAGCAGGTATTGATTGTTACGTCATTGGTTTGTGAGAGTAACTCTGCAATACGCAAAGACGGAATACTGTTCAACATGTACGATTTGACCAGGACACTAATTACATCTTCATAGCAGTAACCAGTTGCTAAATTTCCATATATGTATAGAATATACCCTCATTACCTAAGATTTAGATTTGAGGTTTTTAATGCCCCTGTAGACCCCCATCCTAACAATTGGTACATGACCGCTCATTATTATTCGTACCATACTGGCATTCCTAACGGCGCGTATCAACTGTCTAGGCGACCTTATAATCCCTAGGCTTGTTCGTGTACGTATGAAAGCTGACAATACAGGCAATGAAATAAATCTTACTGCCGAACCATTCATAACCAGCAGGAAGGTAATGCACCGCTGAAAGAAAACTTACTATTTAACATAAAATAAGCAAACAAATATGGCGGAGTATATCCTTGTTTCACGGTTAAGAAAATGCTTGCTTTTGAAAACCTCATGAATTTCTCTTGTTATGCACATGGACACTCAATCTTGAAGTTTTTGTGTGCATGTAGTATTTTTAATATTTTTCATTTCACTCGAGATGGTGAGGATGACAAGTCGTCATTTTAAAAGTATGAAACAGATGACGTTTGTTCAGTATTTAAGAGAGACTATTTACTTACTACACTCTGCCCTTTGACTGGGAACCTTACGGGGATCACCGGTTCGAACCCCGTAAGGAGCACGATATTCTCGCTCCTGTTTCATATATTCAAGTTGTAAAGTTGATTTCAAGTGTACTGGTTAATCAATTTTTAAGTACCTAAGTTATTGTATAATTGAGTTCGTTAGAACATTACTTTCAAAGTTTATAACTCATAATGAAATACGCTGACTTGCCACTTTCAAAGTATTCAAGTTTCTGTGAAATGAAGAACGCTGTTTTGTAACTTTAACAAATACGCAAGCTTCTGTACAATGACAGAACGCTGCCTCACAGTTTACAAAAAATCTTAGCTCCTTTTTGATGAAGAACGCTGGCTCAACACTTTCAAAGTATCTAAGTTTCTTTTCAAGGAGGTACACTGGGTTGTAACTTTCAGAATATCTCACTTTCTGTATAATTCAGAACGGTGGTGCATAACTGACAGAGAATCTCTGTTTCTTTTACAAAATATATCAATATTTTTTTTATGAAAAACGCTTGCTCATCACCTTGAAAGTTGTTGTCTGTATAATGAAGATCGCTGGTTCATGATAAGTGTATACGTGTCAGTATAATCAAGTATTCACGTTTCTGTGTATCAAGGCGTCTCTAGCAATCCACCATCGGAACAACGACAGCATAAAAAAGGATCAAAGAACCATCAGTCTGTATGCAGTAGGGCAAAAAACAAAATTTCAGAAAACGACATTCCGCCATCTCAAATAAGACAAAAGAGTATATACGGTACGGCCCGGACAAAGTGATGCATGGATTGATGGACTCGGTACTAAATAACTGGTCTCATCTGCACATGTACATCTGTGATACGCTGGATCGCCACTTTGAATGTGTAAAATAAAGAATGCTCGCTTATCATTTTCAAAATTTCAAGTTCAAGTAATTTTAATGAAGCGTTATATTCTTTCAAAATATCAAATCAGAGTTTCTATTTTTTCCGGAACGTCACTCATGTTTGATAATTGGAGAAATCAATCGTTGAAAAATTGGGTGCCACCAATGAATAGCCAAGGTTTTGTTTGGTTGCCTTTTGTTAAACGCCGACGTCCTTTTAGCAGCTACGGTCATTTAAGGACGTGCCTCCATGTGTGTAATGCATGCCTCCATTTGTGTAATGCATGCCTCCATGTGTGTAATGCATGCCTCCATTTGTGTAATGCATGCCTCCATGTGTGTAATGCATGCCTCCATTTGTGTAATGCATGCCTCCATGTGTGTAATGCATGCCTCCATTTGTGTAATGCATGCCTCCATGTGTGTAATGCATGCCTCCATTTGTGTAATGCATGCCTCCATGTGTGTAATGCATGCCTCCATTTGTGTAATGCATGCCTCCATGTGTGTAATGCATGCCTCCATTTGTGTAATGCATGCCTCCATGTGTGTAATGCATGCCTCCATTTGTGTAATGCATGCCTCCATGTGTGTAATGCATGCCTCCATTTGTGTAATGCATGCCTCCATGTGTGTAATGCATGCCTCCATTTGTGTAATGCATGCCTCCATGTGTGTAATGCATGCCTCCATTTGTGTAATGCATGCCTCCATGTGTGTAATGCATGCCTCCATTTGTGTAATGCATGCCTCCATGTGTGTAATGCATGCCTCCATTTGTGTAATGCATGCCTCCATGTGTGTAATGCATGCCTCCATTTGTGTAATGCATGCCTCCATGTGTGTAATGCATGCCTCCATTTGTGTAATGCATGCCTCCATGTGTGTAATGCATGCCTCCATTTGTGTAATGCATGCCTCCATGTGTGTAATGCATGCCTCCATTTGTGTAATGCATGCCTCCATGTGTGTAATGCATGCCTCCATTTGTGTAATGCATGCCTCCATGTGTGTAATGCATGCCTCCATTTGTGTAATGCATGCCTCCATGTGTGTAATGCATGCCTCCATTTGTGTAATGCATGCCTCCATGTGTGTAATGCATGCCTCCATTTGTGTAATGCATGCCTCCATGTGTGTAATGCATGCCTCCATTTGTGTAATGCATGCCTCCATGTGTGTAATGCATGCCTCCATTTGTGTAATGCATGCCTCCATTTGTGTAATGCATGCCTCCATTTGTGTAATGCATGCCTCCATGTGTGTAATGCATGCCTCCATTTGTGTAATGCATGCCTCCATGTGTGTAATGCATGCCTCAATTGGTGTAATGCATGCCTCCATGTGTGTAATGCATGCCTCCATTTGTGTATGTGTGCTGGAGGCAGGGTATGCTGGTGTACTTGCCTCCTTGCGACAATGATTATCTGATGCCGACTTTCTGACTGATACCTCTTTGAAATACCCTGCCGAGGGCATCCGTCACGGGAGATTCCGTACAGCTACATACATTTATACTGACAACTGGAAACCAGTTTTTACGATAACCCTCAATGCTGAATGTAAAGCAGGGAATAACAAGTTAATAACTACCATTTTTATGGACTCCGGTATGTTCCAACACCTACTATGCACAAAAAGTGAGATGTTGCCAAGCAAGACACTAGGAAACAAAAAAGTTTACGGGAATGCTTGTGAGAATCTATCCTCTTAACTTCTTCTCTCTTTACATTGCTGGCAGATTATACTGCTTGAAACCGCCTATAAATGCGACAATTCTGTTTTTAAAACCTCAAAAATATGACTAAGAGAAAGAATCGATAATTATTGATTGAAAAACTTTACTGTAGAATAAAAAGTTTGGGAATTTATTGTTTGTAAGCCGATTCGGAGTTATATCGTATTATATGTTACAGGAGAGTAAACAGTATTCAACATGACAAGCCAATTGCAAGGTTCTTAAATGTAAACCATCGCTCCAAGAAAGCTGGTAACGCTGAGACCGGGAGAGGTTAGCTCAAATAACTGGACAAAGAAAAAAGAAGTTTTGTTCCCGTCAATTTTTATTCATTTTTCTTCTTACAACAGTAGACGATTGCAACATAGAAAAACAATTACAAAGTGTCCCATAAATAATAGGAAAGTCTGTGAAATTCACAGCAACGAGTTGTCTTCTCTTGATGTAGGGGCTTTACATGCGTCATATGTAGAGGTCACGTTCGTCTTCAAATGCAGGGTAGTCTATTCTAACAAAAACAGAAAACACAAAAAGTGAATTTTCGTTTAGGTCAATTACATACATTTCCTAAATGCATAATGTTTGTTTCATTTGATTGATAGCAGCTTATATCAACTTTCGCATTTTTGTGACAAGAATGAAAAATATATTTCTGACGAATCAGCTGTCGCATTATAATAAAAGGCCGTATAATAAAACTCAATGTTTCTTAGTTCAGTATCTGGTAGTGATTATTTTAAATCCTGAAATAATATATTCTTGTGTGTCATAACTCCGCTAAATAACATGTATTGTTTGTCAGTCGCATTCCCCACTTACTGAAAGGTTTTGTTTCAATGGCAAACTTCAATCGAAACATGCATGCATGATCTGTTTAACCTATTGACCTGATTTGTAGAAAGACCATTTATTATTTATAGGCTCTCCAATTAAATTTTAATTAAATGATGCTGAGGATTAAGCATCTTATCCAACATTATTGTGCTTTTTAATTTGGTGTTTCTTTTGTTTCATTTCGCACTTTTTTTACCAGCTAACACGATCACATAACAGTGTCTGAACAAGTTTACAGAATTTTTATACTTTCATATTGCAATAGATAATACATGAAGGAATATGTTTTCCTGAAATTTGATTTGTAAGATTATATTTATGAATGACGCCGACACACTGGATACCAAGTAGACACAATCGTGTGACATGGAAAGAAGTTACAAGTATAGAACTTGTTTGTTAAAATATTCAAAAGTTTGGCCTTCATTACCCTTGATGAAATTTTATGAATCGCATTATGAATGTCCACTGAGTTGAAGTTGATATCCTCTGTGTCTTAGGTTAATTTAATGAATAAACTATTTTGTGAACAATTGTCTCGCATATACTGTTACATATGCAATACAGATACCCTTTCAGGTGATGATCTCACCTCCAGTGTTAAGATCCTCGGTGTTGAAGAGACTACTTTCAAGGGATCGCTTGTTCACGCTTCGTCCAAATCTACAAAATAATCAAATACAGATTAGGATGATATGATTGGCAGATGGTGTATTCCTGTAATGTCTTGCCAAAATAAATATCCTTTTACGAACCAAATATTTAAATAAACGCTTAACATAACGGTCTTTGTTCTGTATTCCTCATTCATATCGTTTGAAAATTTTGAAAAGTCAACGGCTGCAAACAGTATGGAATCGCAAGTGGCGATATTTGAACTTCTAAAAAAATCCCCATACAACCGCCAAAACAGTAACTACGTATTGGAAAATGTTTTATCCCCATACAACCGCCAAAACAGTAACTACGTATTGGAAAATGTTTTATCCCCATACAACCGCCAAAACAGTAACTACGTATTGGAAAATGTTTTATCCCCATACAACCGCCAAAACAGTAACTACGTATTGGAAAATGTTTTATCCCCATACAACCGCCAAAACAGTAACTACGTATTGGAAAATGTTTTATCCCCATACAACCGCCAAAACAGTAACTACGTATTGGAAAATGTTTTATCCCCATACAACCGCCAAAACAGTAACTACGTATTGGAAAATGTTTTATCCCCATACAACCGCCAAAACAGTAACTACGTATTGGAAAATGTTTTATCCCCATACAACCGCCAAAACAGTAACTACGTATTGAAAAATGTTTTTACCGGCATGATAATAGCTTTGATAAATAGACTTTGAAAGAAATCATGCCTTGTTACACATTTATAAAAAGATGAAGATGTTATAAACAAAATATAATTACCGGCAGTGTTCTGAGTGCAACAACTCAGTCGGGCTTGACCGGGATTCGAACCGTGAAATTTACATCCAATTGTTTTACTATTAAAGAGCGCACAATGCAGTGGGACAGTGATCCTTAATGACCCTATTTACCATAATGTCTGGAAGACATGACAAAAGAGACAGCCAACGAGTCATAGATGATACCGAGTCAGCCCGGTACGTTCTAAATTCTAGACGAACGGAGGCTCCGCCAACTGATCGTGCACTCACCGTGGTCTGCCGACGATGGAGTAGTATTCGTTAAGGGCCCGGAGGTAGCTCCTGAGCTGGTCTGGTGTCCTGAAGCTGTGGGGCCTGTCTGGGGGCTCTAACATCGCCTCTTGACACGTCACTTGGCTTACTAGCAGGGCACATACGATAAGTACTGTTGTTAGGACGAACTTTTGCATATTTCTGAAAAGAAAAATATCGTCAAAAATCACTTGTTATTCATATTCTTATTTCGTTCCATTCGCCACCTCGTTAACCAAAACTGTATGTTCGGTTTCTCACTGGTGTTTTGGCAAATGATGACAATAGAACTTACATATTTTAGCGAATATCTTATTTTGCCTATATAGATATTGCGATGAATTATGACTCCGCTACTTGAATTTTCTGTATCCTTAATAATGCATATATTGTTGGTATGCCAGTTCATCGATGCACTGAAAGTAAAAAATCTAATAATGCACTTAATATTGCTATGAGTGCGCTACAGTAAGAGCGTTTATAGTATATACTCATCGACATTGATAATATTTTTGTAAGAAGTTATAGATATTTCAAACTGTATACTTCTCTTTTATAGAGGTACTGTATAAAGGAATATACTATTCAGTTAGTTATTTTCCCCATCCGTTGGGTCTTGTCAATGGGGACATCCATTGCCTAAGTATGATTCAAAAGATGTCAGTTGATTCTAATTAACGATAATCGAGGTACTAGTACGTATTTTCATTAAATGTCCATTTTAGTAGCCTCATTATTCCTTAATAATACTTTAAATCAAACTAATTCGGGGGTTTTGCAAGAAATAACTGAGTAATTAACCAGTAGAAAACAGATGATATTCACTATCCTATTGAAATAGAATTACACTAGCCCCTCTGTGTCTAGTATGCTTAAAGATGGAATTTCGAAAAGACGTTGAGGGAACTCCGGATAACTGTCAAAAAAATTAGACAAACTGGATACTGATTGATAACTGTCGACCTCGAAAATGGTAAAATAGAGCCAGCCAGAACGGCAGGATGGGCACCAAACAATATATTTCATTACCGGTCACATATTTAGAAAGTGATTGATTGCGAAACGTGATGTGAAAAGCTATTCCAAAAACCACCAAAAAACCCCACATTCTGTTAGAATAGAAAATAGGTGTTCGTTACATATTTACCTTTAATTATTTGCAAGTTAGTTAATACTCAGTCTTTTCTTCAAGCTCTATCATTTATACATCTACTAGATGTTATGGTGCAAAAAGAGACAGATCTAGTTGCTATTCCGTACATAAGAAATATCAAAAGTAGTTAACTTGACATTAATTTTTCTAGTAGAAATCGATTTTGAGGTTCGACCCTGAATGAACATGAATATTCATATGTAACAAATGCAACTATTTAGTTCCTGACCTCGTTGGAAATCAAAATTAGGCAAAATGTTCAACATCACATGGACATATTTTTGGAAATTTGAGAATATAGGAAAACTAACAATAAAATAAAAGACGAAGTGAAATATTTCAGTTACTACGAAAGCTGTACGACGCTGTAGAATTATCATATCACATTAAATCTGCATTTCGCAGTTAATATGCAATTTTATTAAATATACAATAATTTCGTTAGCTATTCACTGGTATTAATTTTAAAGATAGATCCCTGGAGTCCTAATACAGCATCACCGATGTCTCGATCTAGATCTAAACTTTACCCTGCATAATTGAATCTTTATAAAAGGTATTGCTTATTATATTCGATAATGGGTTATCTTAAATTCACTCTCATTTTGTCTGAGTTTTATGCCAAAAGTCTTCGCTAAAATAGAACATTTAGACTCGTTTTGTTTTATAAATTATTTTTTTAAATTCTAAATGTGATGAATGGTACTGCTAGTGTATCAAAAGCCTTGAAGTATATGTTTTTGATTATACACGTATTTAAAAAAGTTGCTATACTGAATTTGTTCCGATCGCAATGACGCCTTGGCAATATAGTAAATTTCTCAGCAAAATTGGATGGCTTGCTAGCTATTTGGATCACCGGACTCATTTTTTAGAAAAAGGCCAATCTGATTAAGACACTGGTTGGAAAGTGGGAGAAACCCGAAAAAAATGTTGACTTGAACAATTAGCTTCGACATTTCGCCGCTCAAAATCCTTAATTTATATTCTTGCCAAACATGTGACGTTACTCCTTCAACGAATCCTATATATATTGATGGAAGGTTTTTTCAGTTACATTTCTATTTTAATGCCAGTGTTATGAAAATCATACTTGTGCGACTTTTATTCCATATAGTTTTCCAAAAATCCACAGTTGTAAAAGGAAATAGCAGACCTAGCCATAACCCGAGAGCGATTTAATATTAACACTTTGTAATGATACTATGAAACAGATTGACTTTCGATTGTAGTACTATCGTTTGATATTGTCTATCCGTTGTAACAATATCATTGTAATATTATTTAAGATAATGCCGTACACAATAAATATAATATTATAAAAGATATCACTCTCGATTGTAATAATATAATATAGATATTGATCATTTCATTTAATAATATTATATATAATTATGACTTCCTAATATCATCATTTTATTTAAGATTGACTTCTCAATGGAATGCTATTACACAAGAGATTAACAATATAATCTTAAAATATTGTTTAAAAAAACATGCCGTGAGTTTCCACTGTAATAGTGTTTCTAATACATATATTACTAAAATATTTATGGTTTTTGATTTTTGTCTATAACTCTTGAAATTCTTTATTCATAACTTGAGATATTGACTATCTATTGTTGTATATTTCCAACGAGAAAAATAACGATCGTTTGCTGATTTCCTAGAGAACACAACTATGTTTTTTATCTATTTATCTGTTAAGTCTGATTTTGTCGATATGATGCTAAAGCAAATGCACTTCTTCATTGGACACTTTAAAATTAGAAGTATTTGATCAATGTCAAGAATTATGCATATCCAAATGTTTCTATACCAAAAACGAGAGGAAAGTGTTCTCACCATTGTGAATCGACCTCTTCAATAAGTTCATCCCTTTTCTATTTGTAACACGTTTATGTGGTTTTAAATTTGTCAATATTTATAACAAATATTGCGTGTTTGGAAACTAGTTAAGAATGATGTACAACACCATCATTAACCACTTTGGGTAGTTAATGAGTTTTCATGTACCAGTTAACGTCTTTTCCTTAATTGAGACAAGCAAATTAGACTCCGATATTATTGTGTCAGATTTCTTTTGGCTGATGCATATCATGGGTATGTTAACATACGGGAAAATATTTTTTTACGTTAATATTTTACCATATCTTCATAAATAAAAATAAAAATAAACACGGATCTGAAATAATCTTCCTTACAAAATACCTAAAATGAAGGAAAATCCTTAAATATTATATTCTATAAAGACAGGAACAGATAGAACGGAAATGTACTCAGTAAGCTACACAACAAAAGTAATTTTTCAGAAGGAAATATGAAAGTAATTCTTACCTGTGTGATGGTGTAATGTCCAGTAATGTTTGGTCACAACGTCTAGTGTCTAAGCCCCCAGTTGTTGTGGAACCAGTGGTCCGGGTGATGTATATATACCCTGACCATATCTGCTGGAGACAGGTCACCAACCCTCTTTACTAATATATGCATTGAGCCAACAACTTTTCTTCCTCTATTCTCCACTGTGACAAGCACGTCCAATGCTAAACTTGTTGAGATGCAGAAACCGTTCCTGTTTCTATTAGTTAGCAGGACATGTGATAATGGCACTGAATGGTTTGTTTCAGTGTGTTATTGAATATGTTTGAAACACATGACGTTTCATTCACCACAATGCCGTCATACGAATGTGGCTAGGACCACCCGCTGGGTTTTGTAACAGTTCCGCGTCCGTCTGTCAAACGCACAAACGACAGTCCGAGTCCGTTGCCGCCAGCGCTTGTAATTGTCTTTACAACAATTTCCTTTATGATCAGTCATTTACATATCAGTGTCTTTGTTTTCAAAATTAACAAATCTATTCCTGTTATTGCCAATTGTTTGAAACAAACAGTTCCTTTAAGGAGCTCCTTTTCGCCCACTTATGGCGTATACTTTGTGTTAAATGGTGAGATGAAATAATATGAAGGAGGCATTGACGAAAAAGGAGATGGACGAGAGTGGGGAGAGGGATGGTGATGGGGGAGTTATACAATGTGAGAGCAGTTGAATATGAAGACGATGGATCTAATGCCTGAAAAGTTGTAATGGTTATTATTTAGATGTAATATAACGGCTATGAATACATTTTGAATACTTTTAAGAGGTTTTCATTTGCTTTATAACTATCGGAGTTCACTTTGATAAATACGACATGTTATATGTTAGAAATACCAATGATACAATCACTCGTAATACTGAACACTGTTACACTTGGAAATAAGTATTGAAATGGTCGATAGAAGGTAGAAGGCATTGTGTTCACTTGTCTTTGTAGTTCACCCTCCCAAATAATTTCAGTGATGGCTGAAGGCCTCGAAATTGACATATGTTCAAATACACTGGGAATCCGAAAGTGTTCAGTATTCGGTACTTTTCACAAAATAGTTGACAAAATTATTGAAGATGTACCTATTATATTTTTGTTTTATCTTGGGTGTTCGATGTTTGATAAAAGTTTACTGGTATATTTTTCCTATTTAAATATCTTGGATTATGTCAATTGTTAAAACGTTGCAAACTGAAATAAAACGTTGTCAATTTCTTTTCTTAGTTTTAAAAACTTGAATCTTATCACGAATCATGTAGAATTAATTTTCTAGTAAAATATTTTTAAAGTGACGAATTTTACTTTTGACATGTTGCCCCAGCTTGTATTCTTCAAAATCTATTTGGATATTTTCACATTCTAATTTCAAACACCTTTTGATCTCGCGCAAAAACCTCACTAAGAACTATTATCTAGTCCATTTCTGGGAACCTGTGGTACTAACTTGATCATTTTATCTATCTCATCTATTTCATTCAACTGGTACATTTCCTAATCAGCAGTGTCTGTGTCTGGGAAAAAACATCACCACCTGTTGTACAGTTTTAATTCTAGGCTGATTCTATGGGTGAATGTCTTCGGTGTTACCTTCGATATTGAGCCCGATGTTTAAACCCAGAACACCATTCCTTCCAAATAGGGCGCACTAGGTATGACTTGAATGCAGGTGTTGAATGCAAGGATAGAAGATGTGAGACCGGAAACATTTAATTAACATTCGATGTGTGTCAGACATTCTGTTTCATTTCGAGTGTTTCATATATTAATGTGATAAGCATGTTTTTTTCTTCAAATAACGTCTAGTGTGTGACATGTTCGTCAAAATCCAATAATTTTAATATAGTTATGTATATAATATACGTTGTACAAATCGTGCAAATAAGCCATGTATTATACAACGGAACAGAGTTGTCCCCAATTTTGAGAGAAATATACTTAAGCATTGAACTGTTTTTGTATGACAGTTCAATACTTATATTTACGTTTTCTCTGCCTCTTATGTTCTTTTTTTAACTTATAATATATATTTGAAATTAAAAATGCCCTCCTTATCGACAGTCCACACAATTTCGTTCAATAGTTTGAACAGCGTATTGTCGTGTGCTGATTGGCAAACAAAGTAGAACTTTGAAATTTTAACAAACGCTTCAATTTTATTCCACAATTCAGTATCAATACAATTGCGTATGTCTATAGGGTGAGTTAAGTTTATCAATAGAACTCTGAGCTGAAAGTTAGATTTGAAATTGTTTCGATTTTTCCCCGGAACAAATTTCGCGCATGGACAAACATCGTAAATCCGACCACGAGGGAGTTATTTTTGGAAGTTAATTCGAATTTTTCTCTTTGCTCACCAGTCGTGAATTTATTTGTTGATTGTATGGGAACCTGACAACAGTCGGTAGATTCTATAACAGCGTCGTTATTTGACATCTCGTCAGAAACTGAGGAACCGTGGATGCGATACGCGTGAAACTGATAGCGTTTGAAGTGAGTGATCTTGCGACGGAGCACAGGTTCGTTACAAATGTCTGAAATGTTTATGTGTGCTGTGACTCATATCAGTAGGTCTGTAACATATGTGTCAATATGTGTCAGTAGGTCTATAGAATATGTGTATTTCAGACATTTGTAACGAACCCCTGTTGATCAGTGCAGTGTAACAGACGATATTTCTGATAAATTGCATGAGCGTTAAAATTGTTTCCATTGCCGGCATTGGTGATTTCAACCGATGTGCATTTTGTACGATATTGCAGACCTTGGTCTTGTTTTCGTTGTAATAAAAGTGTTTTTTATTTTATTTTTTATTTTGCACATAAATTTACAATGACTTTGTCAAATCTCACAATGCCCAGCGATATTTCAGCAGCCGTCATGTTTAATTATATTGGATATTGTAGTTCCGGTCAGTGTTGTATTAATACGCTAAGAATTGTGTCTCGTGATGCATGGTAATTAAAGTCCCATCAACGACACAGCTTTCAAAGAGGCTATATAGTGACAATGCCATGCAAATGTAAATTTAAGATAATGGATCATCATGAACTCATGTGAACGTCATTTAAGCTTGAACCATTTAAGAAGGGATCTATCGAAACCGGCGACAGGATAAGGCATGGAGATGCAATACTTAAAATCAACCGGGGAGTGGATCTGGCATGTGACCTGCACACATCATACCTGATATGGTCTTGATAGGTAAGTACTTGGATAGGTCGAGTTCGGCTACTGGAAAATATCTTAATCAACGAAGGCGATTTTTAGTTCTACAGTGTTACTCAGTAAATTCTCTGTGTTCACATGTCTAAGTTTTCAGGCAATAAGGCGGGACCCAATAGGAAAACATGTATCATTAGGCCAAGAGCAATGGTCACTCAGCATTGTATAAAACGGAAGGTGTGGCCTACCTTGGGGCAGAGGGGCGTGTCCCAAAAGGAGAAATAAAGAGCAGTTTTGAAAAATTTCTCTTTGAGTACGGGTTATGAGATTTTAACCTTATGTGGCCTCCCTAGGGTCAACGGTGTTATCGTTGTATAAACAGAATATGTGCCCAAATCTCCTTGGAAGCAGTGGATTGAAACCCAATATTGGAAACACAAATGAATTTTCAAATCCGGATCCTTCTGAAAGGTTTTATGAATATGGGATATGATCTGAATTCTTCTTGGAGGGATCATTAAATCCATTTAATATTAAAAGTTTATTGAAAAGTAGAATGTTATTGTGATCAGATTTTAGGTAAAATATTGAGTGAAAATAAGGACGTTAAAACCGATTAAATTAATGCATACTCGTTGTAAGTTGGGAAGCCAAACTGCTTATATTTTTGGATTAATTAAACACATATTTATCATAAATGCTGAAAAACAAACATTAATCAACAATTGAGCACTTGAAAATGAACACATTTTTTTCCCAAATATATTCTTAAATCCACATAATGCATAATGACTGATAATGCATTATGAAAAAGAGCACAGTTTAGTCTTATAGACCACTGGGTCTCTTGCTCTTTTAAATTTGACAGTTGCATTGATTCATTTCCGGTTCACATTTATAATGACTGCTGGTCATTTTCATAACTTGTAACTAGATGATAACATTATTTACCTTCCTGTTGTAAGATGATTTTAATTGATGCCTGTTGTACCTGTAATTACGATATATACTGTAAGTACCTGTACCAAGGTGATGTACATTGTGTACCTATAAAAGGTTCATTACTGTTTGATTACCTTTACTATCGTAATGTACAATTTTATTGGTAATAAGGAATTCACACATGATATAAGGTAATATACAGTGTTTACCTTTTGAGACCAGTAATCATGTGTTCACAGTTACTTGCATCTTGGTTATACACAATTTGTACAAGTTGTAATTAAGTGATTACTGTACGTTCATATTTAATCATGTGATGTACCTGTTATAAGGTTATGTTTGTTATTCACTTTTCTCTCATTTCCCTGTGTGTAAGATAGACCTGTCCATGGTAAGAAAGGGGTGTAGGAAATTTCTATCTTACACTCCATTTCACGTGACGTGACGTCACAATGGCTCGACAATGACGTGACGTCACGAATTTGGAACTCTCCGATACCGCAATGCGGAAAAGGCGACGTGATGAAATTAAAAACCTTTTACGATATATTTACCGTACACGTTAGAAAGATGTGAGTATTTTTTCTGTGCAAACGTTCTTTGCCAATATGGGATATGCTAAATCTGTCGAAACAGCTCAGGGGGAAAATCGATATTTTCAAAATGATGGCTAGTCCAAACGCATTTTCATGGTTTTTGAGCTTATTCTGGTGGATGAATTGAGAGAAATATTACTCTTTTTTTTCCAAGGGTGTAGGATAGGGAAATTCCTGCCTCGGGACTTTCAAATTTGGCAACACCCTCGGCAAAGCCTCGGGTTTTACCAAATTTGAAAACTCCTCGGGTGGAATTTATCTATCCTACACCCTTGAGAATGAAATAGTCTTATAATATTCATATGTATAACTCCAGATTTAATTGACTATCGACCTCCTTGTCTAAGTCCATACACTGTCTTTATTCTTAATGTACAATCATTTGACAAGTATTATGTCTAGTCAACTGATCAATTTAGATCATAATAGTTTTTGCGGTGTTGTTTTTTTGTATACGGTGCATTAGTAAATTTCGATGTGTTAATGGATGATTCAACCGAACAATTCTGATCAATGTAACTGATTGTGCCGTGAATAATGCAAAAGCGATATGCCGTATAAATGACCTGACATCCCGATAACATAAAACCAATGTCAATAAGTCCAGTAATTAGAGGTGTCCTCAAATGAATACATCTTTTTGTTTGTTTAGATTGCATACAGCTTTTAAATCGATTGCACGTGAACGATTCAATACAGAATGGTATATGTAAAAACTGGCGTTCAGCTGTAGAACTGTATCAAGAGATGATATGTCATTTGCCGTACATATAACGCGATCACGTAATACTTCGACAGTATCTGTACAAGACAGCACAGGTAAGTTCCAGTCTTTAGTACGCGCATTGCTTGAATTGTATTCTACGCTTATTTCACATTTTATTGAACCAAAGTAGAATTCAGGTACTATATCACTGTTAGATAGAAACCAATAATGAAAAAATATTCTATGTACACTTTTGTTGTCGATAGCGTTTCATAAATTACGTGGCACGTTATTTGATTTTCTTAAAAATGCCTTTTTACCGTGAGGTCAAATGAAAAAACACAAAAAGAATAATGCATTCTTATCTTCGGTTATTTGTGAAATTAAGTGTGATGGATTTAAAGAACAGTGATAGATGCGAGTATATTTCATTATCAAATACTTTTTAAAATCATTATCTATTGCTAGATTTGACGAAATTTTCGCACATATCTTAAATTGCTTGTAGTTATGTCTGTTCATTGAAACATGTGGTTTTCTAATTAAAAAACTTTTACGAATCAAACTCAATATTCACAATTGTTAAATTTGGACACGGCTGTCGTTTGTTGATATTTGGCATGTAAATAAATATTCCTTACCATTTGACTTAGAATGTATCCCCCCCTTAGTACGAGTTATCTAACAAAAATACGTACACTTAATGATATATTATTAAGCGTTTTTCTTATATAAGCTTCAAAACGGGATTATACGTCTTTCTATTAAGTTTGTTTTAAACGTTTTACTTTTTATTTAGCTTATTCCTCAATTTGGTATACTTAGACATGGTATTGTACTAGACACGGGTTTACGCATTAGTTTGTATAATACATAAACGTGCCAGTCCGACTTTTAACGTATTCACATGTATTTCGAATTCATTGCAGGAACACAAAAGGGAGGATAAAGTTGTATTGATTGCTGCTGTGTAGTGTATTGTCTGGTATGACATCAGAGAGAGAGTCATGTTTGTCACGTTATTACTGGCGTTAATGATAAGTGCCACAACCTCATCACCAACATCAAAAGACGTGAAAGATGTCTACAGCCATATATTCAATGGCTACGACAAACGGGTTCGGCCTGTTTGGAATCAGAGTGACGTCGTATCTGTGACGCTGAGTTTCAAATTAAATTCGATAAACGAATTTGATGAAAAGTCACAGAAACTTGTATTAGCAGGTTGGTTTGATGCAAGTTGGTCGGACGAATCACAGACTTGGAACAAGTCGGATTTTGGTGATGTGTCACATGTATCTGTAGACGGAAGTTCGATATGGCTTCCACAAATTGCCCTTATAAACACATTTGGGCGAGTTAACATTCTTTCACAGTTGGCTTCAAGCGCTGTGATTAACGCCAATGGTGAAGTTGAATGGTTTCCAGGGGATAGTTTTGTCGTGACTTGTGAAGTTGATATCACGTATTACCCCTTTGACACACAACACTGTTCATTGGTTTTCGAAATGTGGGATGCACCTATGTCCGAAGTGATATTACAAACATCATCAAAAGCAATTGACGTCAATTTATTCGAAGAAAATGGAGAATGGACATTGACAAGCTTTGAGGTTGATAACCCGGAATTCGACGATGAGGTATTTATTTCATCCATAACTTATCTCTTCCATCTACAGCGGAGGCCTAAATTCGTTGTCTTGACAACCATTGCCCCAGTAGTCCTGCTGGCGTTTTTGAACGTCTGCGTGTTTCTTATACCCTTGTCTTCGGGAGAGAAGAATTCGTTCTGTGTGACCGTGTACCTATCGTACGCTGTGTTTCTGGGAACAATCAGCTCTGAACTGCCGCACAATTCCAAAGACGCGTCGTACTTGACCATATATTTACTCGCTCTGCTTGTCTTCAGTGTAACCATCGTCCTTGTAACTGTCATACAAGTGCGACTTTTTATTGAATATGGCGACACCCCGGTACCGGCATCAGTTGCCAAAATGTTTGGTTGCTGTACACGTGGAAACCGTTCTAAAGTAAAGCATTTTGACATTAACGATCCGGATGATGTGAAAGACAACAGTGTGAAACCATTAGAATTAAAACAAACGAACGAGAATTGTGTTTGTGTGAAAGACATACTGCCGAGACTTGATGTCCACCTATTTTGTTTGTTCCTGGTCATATTGTGTGTGATGACGTCTGTTATGGGCGGCCTGGCCTTTTCGTATTCCCTATGAAATGTTAAAACTTGAACTGCAGATATCGTGTCCTATCTTCATCTTTTACGAGTTTACTGTTTTAGACTATGGTCACCGTGACGTACTCTACTTCTTTGGAAATGTTGTGATGTCGACTTTGAACGTCGAGCCTTTTCTCATTCCTTTGAGTCTTTTGACATAGACTACGATGTTTTGACTTCTATCTATTCCTTTTGAGAGTTTTGACGTCGACTATGACGTCGAATTTGGAGGTCGTGCCTTTATTCTCATTCCATTATGAGTCTTCAGATATCTATTCTTTATGAGAGCTATGACGTCGACTTTGAACGCTGTGTCCTATTCTCATTTCGGGTGCATAAGTACCGATTTTGTGTTTTCTGTTAAAGACTTCTTGACAATTTTATTCGTGAAAACGAAAAAGTATGTATATTGTTCTTGTTTGCAGTTGCCAGAATAATCACTGGATATATACGGGAAGTGATGAGTTATATATCTGTCGCATATATGACATACTAGATTGGCAGTTTATCACAACTATATGAAACATTCTGGTACAGTTTACTTGAACAGCATCCTCGATTTCCAGTGGTTATGCTCACGTTTGCTCTCTACACCCCTGGAATATGTCATGGCATAATTAAAGTCTCGATGTGCGCCACCTTGTTGATGAGACAAGAAGACTAGTTCGATCCTTTGATGTACATCAGAAGAATCTCGCGGTCACGTAACGGTAAAAAATGACAGGCTTTGAAGTCGGGCATCTCTCCTTTGTAATCTTCAAAGGACGGGTATCAGCCTAGCGATTGGTCAGGTTTTTTTTACCCGAGACCAATCAAACAGCTATCTTCGTGGTTTCAATTTTGCCATGACATATTCAAGAGGTGTAGAGAGCGAAAGTAGGCGTAACTCCCGGATATCGAGGATGCTTGAGGTAGCCAAAACCTGTTAATCAGTAAAAGTTTTCTAGACTTCTCTTGTTGTTTATCTACGTACTATAAAAGTGAAAATTTTCGCGTGTGAAAATGTTGCCGTCGTGACCCTTTGAACTTCTGAGTTATTGATATTTCATTTAACTACAATCTATATAATCTATATATAAATATTAGCGTGTGGATAATTTCGCACTTAATTACTCAACGCAAAAAAACCCGCGAAAATTACCATTTTTCTTACGTAATTTCAGGAACTTGAGGCCTACCTTGGTGCAGAGGGGCGTGTCCCAAAAAAGGAAATAAAGAGAAATGTTTAAATCTTTCTCTTTGAGTACAGGCTACGAGATTTTAACCTAATTTTTGCCTTTAGATTAGACTCCCTAGGGTTATGGGTCATATCGTTGTATAAACAGAATGTGTGGCCACATCCACTTGGAGGCAGTGGATTGAAACCAAATATTGGAAACACAATTGAATTTTTAAATCCTGATCTTTCTGAAAAGTTATATGAAAAGTCGAATGTAATTGTGATCAGTGTTTAAGTAAAATATTGAGTGAAAATAAGGACGTTAAAACCGATTAAATTAATGCATACTTGTTGTAAGATAGGGAAGCCAAACTGCTTATATTTTGTGATTAATCAAACATATATTTATCATAAATGCTAAAAAACAAACATTAATCCACAATTGAACATTTGAAAATGAACACATATTTTCCAAATATATTCTTAAATCCATATTTCCGCATAATGACTGATAATGCAATATGAAAAAACTCAGTTTGGTCTCATAGACCTCTTGGTCTCTTGCTCTTTTAAATTTGACAGTTGCATTGATTCATTTCCGGTTCACATTTATAATGACTGCTGGTCATTTTCATAACTTGTAACTAGATAATAACATTATTTACCTTCCTGTTGTAAGATTTTAATTGATGCCTGTTGTACCTGTAATTACGATATGTACTGTAAGTATCTGTACCAAGGTGATGTACATTGTGTACCTATAAAAGGTTCATTACTGTTTGATTACCTTTACTATCGTAATGTACAATTTTACTGGTATTAAGGAATGCACACATGATATTAGGTAATGTATAGTGTTTACCTTTTGGGACCTGTAATCATGTGATTTACAGTTACTTGTATCTCGGTTATACACAATTTGTACAAGTTGTGATTAAGTGATTACTGTACGTTCATATTTAATCAGGTGATTTACCTGTTAAAGGTTATGTTTGGAATTTACCTATCTTCCTATGTATAATTCCAGATTTAATTAACTATATACGATTTTCAACATTTCGGTATCGACCCCTTTGTTATATTCCATGTACTGTCTTTTATTCTTAATGTACAATCATTTGACAAGTATTATGTCAACTGATCAATTTAGAACATAATAGTTTTTGCGGTGTTGTTTTGTATACGGTGCATGAGTAAATTTCGATGTGTTAATGGATGATTCAACCGAACATTACTGATCAATGTAGCTGATTGTGCCGTGAATAATGCAAAAGCGATATGCCGTATAAATGACCTGACATCCCGATAACATAAAACCAATGTCAATAAGTCTAGTAATTAGAGGTGTCCTCAAATGAATACATCTTTTTTTTTTTAGAATGCATACAGCTTTTAAATCGATTGCACGTGAACGATTAAATACAGAGAAGTATATGTACAAACTGACGTTCAGGTGAAGGACTGTATCAAGAGATGTTATCATTTGCCGTACATATAACGCTATCATGTAACACTTCGACAGTATCTCTACAAGACAACACAGGTAAGTTCCAGTCTTAAGTACACGCATTGCTTGAATTGTATTCTACGCTTATTTCACATTCTATTGAACCAAAGAAGAACTCAAGTACTATAGCACTATTAGATAGAAACCAATAATGAAAAAGTTATCTATGTACACTTTTATTGTCGGTAGCGAAATTGTCCCACATATCTTAAATTGCTTGTAGTTATGTCTGTTCATTAAAAGATGTGGTTTTCTAATAAAAAACCTTTTACGAATCAAACGCAATATTCACAATTGTTAAATTTGGACACGGCTGTCGTTTGTTAATATTTGGCATGCAAATAAATATTCCTTACAATTTAACTTAGAATGTATACCCCCTTAGTACGAGTTACCTAACAAAAATACGAACAATTAATGATACATTCTTAAGCGTTATTCTTATATGAACTTCAAACCGGGATTATACGTCTTGCTATTGAGTTTTGTATTAAACGTTATACTTTTTTATTTAGCTTGTTCCTCAATCGAATCGGGACGTTTTGGTATACTTAGACATGGTATTGCACTAGACACGGGTTTATGCATCAGTTTGTATAATACATAAACGTACCAGTCCGACTTTTAACGTATTCACATGTGTTTCGAATTCACTGTAGGAACACAAAAGGAAAGATAAAGTTGTATTGATTGCTGCTGTGTAGTGTATTGTCTGGTATGACATCAGAGGGAGTCATGTTTGTCACGTTATTACTGGCGTTAATGATAAGTGCCACAACCTCATCACCAACATCAAAAGACGTGAAAGATGTCTACAGCCATATATTCAATGGCTACGACAAATGGGTTCGACCTGTTTGGAATCAGAGTGACGTTGTAACTGTGACGCTGAGTTTCAAATTAAATTCGATCAATGAATTCGATGAAAAGTCACAGAAACTTGTATTAGCAGGTTGGTTTGATGCAAGTTGGTCGGACGAATCACAGACTTGGAACAAGTCGGATTTTGGTGATGTGTCACATGTATCTGTAGACGGAAGTTCGATATGGCTTCCACAAATTGCCCTTATAAACACATTTGGGCGAGTTAACATTCTTTCACAGTTGGCTTCAACCGCTGTGATTAACTTCAATGGTGAAGTTGAATGGTTTCCAGGGGATAGTTTTGTCGTGACTTGTGAAGTTGATGTCACGTATTACCCCTTTGACACACAACAATGTTAATTGGTTTTCGAAATTTGGGATGCACCTATGTCCGAAGTGATATTACAAACATCATCAAAAGCAATTGACGTCAATTTTTTCGAAGAAAATGGAGAATGGACATTGACAAGCTTTGAGGTTGATAACCCGGAATTCGACGATGAGGTATTTATTTCATCCATAACTTATCTCTTCCATCTACAGCGGAGGCCTAAATTCGTTGTCTTGACAACCATTGCCCCCGTAGTCCTGCTGGCGTTTTTGAACGTCTGCGTGTTTCTTATACCCTTGTCTACGGGAGAGAAGAATTCGTTCTGTGTGACCGTGTACCTATCGTACGCTGTGTTTCTGGGAACAATCAGCTCTGAACTGCCGCACAATTCCAAAAACGCGTCGTACTTGACCATATATTTACTCGCTCTGCTTGTCTTCAGTGTAACCATCGTCCTGGTAACTGTCATACAAGTGCGACTTTTTATTGAATATGGCGACACCCCGGTACCGGCATCGGTTGCCAAAATGTTTGGTTGCTGTACACGCGGCAACTGTTCTAAAGTAAAGCATTTTGACATAAACGATCCGGATGATGTGAAAAACAACAGTGTGAAAGCATTAGAAGACCCCGAATTAAAACAAACGAACGAGAATTCTGTTTGTATAAAAGACATACTGCCGAGACTTGATGTCCACCTATTTTGTTTGTTCCTGGTCATATTGTGTGTGATGACGTCTGTTATGGGCGGCCTGGCCTTTTCGTATTCCCTATGAAATGTTAAAACTTGAACTGCAGGTATCGTGTCCTATCTTCATCTTTTACGAGTTTACTGTTTTAGACTATGGCCACCGTGACGTACTCTACTTCTTTGGAAATATTGTGATGTCGACTTTGAACGTCGAGCCTTTTCTCATTCCTTTGAGTCTTTTGACATAGACTACGATGTTTAGACGTCTATCTATTCCTTTTGAGAGTTTTGACGTCGACTATGACGTCGAATTTGGAGGTCGTGCCTTTATTCTCATTCCATTATGAGTCTTCAGATATCTATTCTTTATGAGAGCTATGACGTCGACTTTGAACGTTGTGTCCTATTCTCATTTCGGGTGCATAAGTACCGATTTTGTGTTGCCCAGTGCACCACTGGATCCTCGCAATGATATTGTTTTCACGGTTATTCTGTTAAAGACTTCTTGACAATTTTATTCGTGAAAACGATAAAGTATGTATATTGTTCTTGTCTGCAGTTGCCAGAATAATCACTGGATATATACGGGAAGTGATGAGTTCTATATCTGTCGCATATATGACATACTAGATTGGCAGTTTATCACAACTATATGAAACATTCTGGTACAGTTTACTTGAACAGCATCCTCGATTTCCAGTGGTTATGCTCACGTTTGCTCTCTACACCCCTGGAATATGTCATGGCATAATTAAAGTCTCGATGTGCGCCACCTTGTTGATGAGACAAGAAGACTAGTTCGATCCTTTGATGTACATCAGAAGAATCTCGCGGTCACGTAACGGTAAAAAATGACAGGCTTTGAAGTCGGGCATCTCTCCTTTGTAATCTTCAAAGGACGGGTATCAGCCTAGCGATTGGTCAGGTTTTTTTTACCCGAGACCAATCAAACAGCTATCTTCGTGGTTTCAATTTTGCCATGACATATTCAAGAGGTGTAGAGAGCGAAAGTAGGCGTAACTCCCGGATATCGAGGATGCTTGAGGTAGCCAAAACCTGTTAATCAGTAAAAGTTTTCTAGACTTCTCTTGTTGTTTATCTACGTACTATAAAAGTGAAAATTTTCGCGTGTGAAAATGTTGCCGTCGTGACCCTTTGAACTTCTGAGTTATTGATATTTCATTTAACTACAATCTATATAATCTATATATAAATATTAGCGTGTGGATAATTTCGCACTTAATTACTCAACGCAAAAAAACCCGCGAAAATTACCATTTTTCTTACGTAATTTCAGGAACTTGAGGCCTACCTTGGTGCAGAGGGGCGTGTCCCAAAAAAGGAAATAAAGAGAAATGTTTAAATCTTTCTCTTTGAGTACAGGCTACGAGATTTTAACCTAATTTTTGCCTTTAGATTAGACTCCCTAGGGTTATGGGTCATATCGTTGTATAAACAGAATGTGTGGCCACATCCACTTGGAGGCAGTGGATTGAAACCAAATATTGGAAACACAATTGAATTTTTAAATCCTGATCTTTCTGAAAAGTTATATGAAAAGTCGAATGTAATTGTGATCAGTGTTTAAGTAAAATATTGAGTGAAAATAAGGACGTTAAAACCGATTAAATTAATGCATACTTGTTGTAAGATAGGGAAGCCAAACGGCTTATATTTTGTGATTAATCAAACATATATTTATCATAAATGCTCTTTTAAATTTGACAGTTGCATTGATTCATTTCCGGTTCATATTTATAATGACTGCTGGTCATTTTCATAACTTGTAACTAGATAATAACATTATTTACCTTCCTGTTGTAAGATTTTAATTAATTCCTGTTGTACCTGTAATTACGATATGTACTGTAAGTACCTGTACCAAGGTGATGTACATTGTGTACCTATAAAAGGTTCATTACTGTTTGATTACCATTACTATCGTAATGTACAATTTTACTGGTATTAAGGAATGCACACATGATATTAGGTAATGTATAGTGTTTACCGTTTGGGACCTGTAATCATGTGATTTACAGTTACTTGTATCTCGGTTATACACAATTTGTACAAGTTGTGATTAAGTGATTACTGTACGTTCATATTTAATCAGGTGATTTACCTGTTAAAGGTTATGTTTGGAATTTACCTATATGCATATGTATAATTCCAGATTTAATTAACTATATACGATTTTCAACATTTCGGTATCGACCCCTTTGTTATATTCCATGTACTGTCTTTTATTCTTAATGTACAATCATTTGACAAGTATTATGTCAACTGATCAATTTAGAACATAATAGTTTTTGCGGTGTTGTTTTGTATACGGTGCATGAGTAAATTTCGATGTGTTAATGGATGATTCAACCGAACAATTCTGATCAATGTAGGTGATTGTGCCGTGAATAATGCAAAAACGGTATGCCGTATAAATGAGCTGACATCCCGATAACATAAAACCAATGTCAATAAGTCCAGTAATTAGAGGTGTCCTCAAATGAATACATCTTTTTTTTTTTAGAATGCACACAGCTTTTAAATCGATTGCACGTGAACGATTAAATACAGAGAAGTATATGTACAAACTGACGTTCAGGTGAAGGACTGTATCAAGAGATGTTATCATTTGCCGTACATATAACGCTATCATGTAATACTTCGACAGTATCTCTACAAGACAACACAGGTAAGTTCCAGTCTTAAGTACACGCATTGCTTGAATTGTATTCTACGCTTATTTCACATTCTATTGAACCAAAGAAGAACTCAAGTACTATAGCACTATTAAATAGAAACCAATAATGAAAAAGTTATCTATGTACACTTTTATTGTCGGTAGCGAAATTGTCCCACATATCTTAAATTGCGTGTAGTTATGTCTGTTCATTAAAAGATGTGGTTTTCTAATAAAAAACCTTTTACGAATCAAACGCAATATTCACAATTGTTAAATTTGGACACGGCTGTCGTTTGTTAAAATTTGGCATGCAAATAAATATTCCTTACAATTTAACTTAGAATGTATACCCCCTTAGTACGAGTTACCTAACAAAAATACGTACAATTAATGATACATTCTTAAGCGTTATTCTTATATGAACTTCAAACCGGGATTATACGTCTTGCTATTAAGTTTTGTATTAAACGTTTTACTTTTTTATTTAGCTTGTTCCTCAATCGAATCGGGACGTTTTGGTATACTTAGACATGGTATTACACTAGACACGGGTTTATGCATCAGTTTGTATAATACATAAACGTACCAGTCCGACTTTTAACGTATTCACATGTGTTTCGAATTCACTGTCGGAACACAAAAGGAAAGATAAAGTTGTATTGATTGCTGCTGTGTAGTGTATTGTCTGGTATGACATCAGAGGGAGTCATGTTTGTCACGTTATTACTGGCGTTAATGATAAGTGCCACAACCTCATCACCAACATCAAAAGACGTGAAAGATGTCTACAGCCATATATTCAATGGCTACGACAAATGGGTTCGACCTGTTTGGAATCAGAGTCACGTTGTAACTGTGACGCTGAGTTTCAAATTAAATTCGATAAATGAATTTGATGAAAAGTCACAGAAACTTGTATTAGCAGGTTGGTTTGATGCAAGTTGGTCGGACGAATCACAGACTTGGAATGTGTCGGATTTTGGTGATGTGTCACATGTATCTGTAGACGGAAGTTCGATATGGCTTCCACAAATTGCCCTTATAAACCCATTTGGGCGAGTTAACATTCTTTCACAGTTGGCTTCAAGCGCTGTGATTAGCGCCAATGGTGAAGTTGGATGGTTTCCAGGGGATAGTTTTGTCGTGACTTGTGAAGTTGATATCACGTATTACCCCTTTGACACACAACACTGTTCATTGGTTTTCGAAATTTGGGATGCATCTATGTCCGAAGTGATTTTACAGACATCATCAAAAGCAATTGACGTCAATTTATTCGAAGAAAATGGAGAATGGACATTGACAAGCTTTGAGGTTGATAACCCGGAATTCGACGATGCTTTTTTTGTATTTCATCCACAACTTATCTCTTCCATCTACAGCGGAGACCTAAATTCTTCATGTTGACAATCAATATTGCCCCCGTAGTCCTGCTGGCGTTTTTGAACGTCTGCGTGTTTCTTATCCCTTTGTCTTCGGGAGAGAAGAATTCGTTCTGTGTAACTGTTTATCTATCGTACGCTGTGTTTCTGGGAACGATCAGCTATGAACTGCCGCACAATTCCAAAGACGCGTCGTACTTGACCATATATTTACTCGCTCTGCTTGTCTTCAGTGTAACCATCTTCCTGGTAACTGTCATACAAGTGCGACTTTTTATTGAATATGGCGACACCCCGGTACCGGCATCAGTCGCCAAAATGTTTGGTTGCTGTACACGCGGCAACTGTTCTAAAGTAAAGCGTTTTGACATAAACGATCCGGATGATGTGAAAAAAGACAGTGTGAAAGCATTAGAAGACCCCGAATTAAAACAAACGAACGAGAATTCTGTTTGTATAAAAGACATACTGACGAGACTTGATGTCCACCTATTTTGTTTGTTCCTGGTCATATTGTGTGTGATGACATCTGTTATGGGCGGCCTGGCCTTTTCGTATTCCCTATGAAATGTTAAACCTTGAACTGCAGATATCGTGTCCTATCTTCATCTTTTACGAGTTTACTGTTTTAGACTATGGCCACCGTGACGTACTCTACTTCTTTGGAAATGTTGTGATGTCGACTTTGAACGTTGTGTCCTATTCTCATTTCGGGTGCATAAGTACCGATTTTGTGTTTTCTGTTAAAGACCTCTTGACAATTTTATTCGTGAAAACGATAAAGTATGTATATTGTTCTTGTTTGCAGTTGCCAGAATAATCACTGGATATATACGGGAAGTGATGAGTTATATATCTGTCGCATATATGACATGCTAGATTGGCAGTTTATCACAACTATATGAAACATTCTGGTACAGTTTACTTGAACAGCATCCTCGATTTCCAGTGGTTATGCTCACGTTCGCTCTCTACACCCCTGGAATATGTCATGGCATAATTAAAGTCTCGATGTGCGCCACCTTGTTGATGAGACAAGAAGACTAGTTCGATCCTTTGATGTACATCAGAAGAATCTCGCGGTCACGTAACGGTAAAAAATGACAGGCTTTGAAGTCGGGCGTCTCTCCTTTGTAATCTTCAAAGGACGGGTATCAGCCTAGCGATTGGTCAGGTTTTTTTTACCCGAGACCAATCAAACAGCTATCTTCGTGCCTTCAATTTTGCCATGACATATTCCAGAGGTGTAGAGAGCGAAAGTAGGCGTAACTCCTGGATATCGAGGATGGTGGTTGAGGTAGTCAAAACCTGTTAATCAGTAAAGGTTTTCTAGACTTCTCTTGTTGTATATCTACGTACTATAAAAGAGAAAATTTTCGCGTGTGAAAATATTGCCGTCGTGACCCTTTGAACTTCTGAGTTATTGATATTTCATTTAACTACAATCTATATAATCTTTATATAAATATTCGCGTGTGGATAATTTCGCGCTTAATTACTCAACGCAAAAAAACCCCGCGAAAATTACCATTTTTCTTACGTAAGTTCAGGAACTTGAGGCCTACCTTGGTACAGAGGGGCGTGTCCAAAAAAGGAAATAAAGAGAAATGTTTAAATCTTTCTCTTTGAGTACAGGCTACGAGATTTTAACCTAATTTTGCCTTTAGACTCCCTAGGGTTATGGGTCATATCGTTGTATAAACAGAATGTGTGGCCAAATCCACTAGGAGGCAGTGGATTGAAACCAAATATTGGAAACACAATTGAATTTTTAAATCCTGATCTTTCTGAAAAGTTATATGAAAAATAGAATGTAATTGTGATCCGTGTTTAAGTAAAATATTGAGTGAAAATAAGGACGTTATAACCGATTAAATTAATGCATACTTGTTGTAAGATAGGGAAGCAAAACGGCTTATATTTTGTGATTAATCAAACATATATTTATCATAAATGCTGAAAAACAAACATTAATCCACAATTGAACATTTGAAAATTAACACATATTTTCCAAATATATTCTTAAATCCATATTTCCGCAAAATGACTGATAATGCAATATGAAAAAACTCAGTTTGGTCTTATAGACCTCTGGGTCTCTTGCTCTTTTAAATTTGACAGTTGCATTGATTCATTTCCGGTTCATATTTATAATGACTGCTGGTCATTTTCATAACTTGTAACTAGATGATAACATTATTTACCTTCCTGGTTGTAAAATTTTAATTAATTCCTGTTGTACCTGTAATTACGATATATACTGTAAGTATCTGTACCAAGGTGATGTACATTGTGTACCTATAAAAGGTTCATTACTGTATGATTACCTTTACTATCGTAATGTACAATTTTATTGGTAATAAGGAATGCACACATGATATAAGGTAATGTACAGTGTTTACCTTTAGGGACCTGTAATCATGTGATTCACAGTTACTTGCATCTCGGTTATACACAGTTTGTACAAATTGTGATTAAGTGATTACTGTACGTTCATATTTAATCATGTGATGTACCTGTTATAAGGTTATGTTTGTTATTCACTTTTCTCTCATTTCCCTGTGTGTAAGATAGACCTGTCCATGGTAAGAAAGGGGTGTAGGAAATTTCTATCTTACACTCCATTTCACGTGACGTGACGTCACAATGGCTCGACAATGACGTGACGTCACGAATTTGGAACTCTCCGATACCGCAATGCGGAAAAGGCGACGTGATGAAATTAAAAACCTTTTACGATATATTTACCGTACACGTTAGAAAGATGTGAGTATTTTTTCTGTGCAAACGTTCTTTGCCAATATGGGATATGCTAAATCTGTCGAAACAGCTCAGGGGGAAAATCGATATTTTCAAAATGATGGCTAGTCCAAACGCATTTTCATGGTTTTTGAGCTTATTCTGGTGGATGAATTGAGAGAAATATTACTCTTTTTTTTCCAAGGGTGTAGGATAGGGAAATTCCTGCCTCGGGACTTTCAAATTTGGCAACACCCTCGGCAAAGCCTCGGGTTTTACCAAATTTGAAAACTCCTCGGGTGGAATTTATCTATCCTACACCCTTGAGAATGAAATAGTCTTATAATATTCATATGTATAACTCCAGATTTAATTGACTATCGACCTCCTTGTCTAAGTCCATACACTGTCTTTATTCTTAATGTACAATCATTTGACAAGTATTATGTCTAGTCAACTGATCAATTTAGATCATAATAGTTTTTGCGGTGTTGTTTTTTTGTATACGGTGCATTAGTAAATTTCGATGTGTTAATGGATGATTCAACCGAACAATTCTGATCAATGTAACTGATTGTGCCGTGAATAATGCAAAAGCGATATGCCGTATAAATGACCTGACATCCCGATAACATAAAACCAATGTCAATAAGTCCAGTAATTAGAGGTGTCCTCAAATGAATACATCTTTTTGTTTGTTTAGATTGCATACAGCTTTTAAATCGATTGCACGTGAACGATTCAATACAGAATGGTATATGTAAAAACTGGCGTTCAGCTGTAGAACTGTATCAAGAGATGATATGTCATTTGCCGTACATATAACGCGATCACGTAATACTTCGACAGTATCTGTACAAGACAGCACAGGTAAGTTCCAGTCTTTAGTACGCGCATTGCTTGAATTGTATTCTACGCTTATTTCACATTTTATTGAACCAAAGTAGAATTCAGGTACTATATCACTGTTAGATAGAAACCAATAATGAAAAAATATTCTATGTACACTTTTGTTGTCGATAGCGTTTCATAAATTACGTGGCACGTTATTTGATTTTCTTAAAAATGCCTTTTTACCGTGAGGTCAAATGAAAAAACACAAAAAGAATAATGCATTCTTATCTTCGGTTATTTGTGAAATTAAGTGTGATGGATTTAAAGAACAGTGATAGATGCGAGTATATTTCATTATCAAATACTTTTTAAAATCATTATCTATTGCTAGATTTGACGAAATTTTCGCACATATCTTAAATTGCTTGTAGTTATGTCTGTTCATTGAAACATGTGGTTTTCTAATTAAAAAACTTTTACGAATCAAACTCAATATTCACAATTGTTAAATTTGGACACGGCTGTCGTTTGTTGATATTTGGCATGTAAATAAATATTCCTTACCATTTGACTTAGAATGTATCCCCCCCTTAGTACGAGTTATCTAACAAAAATACGTACACTTAATGATATATTATTAAGCGTTTTTCTTATATAAGCTTCAAAACGGGATTATACGTCTTTCTATTAAGTTTGTTTTAAACGTTTTACTTTTTATTTAGCTTATTCCTCAATTTGGTATACTTAGACATGGTATTGTACTAGACACGGGTTTACGCATTAGTTTGTATAATACATAAACGTGCCAGTCCGACTTTTAACGTATTCACATGTATTTCGAATTCATTGCAGGAACACAAAAGGGAGGATAAAGTTGTATTGATTGCTGCTGTGTAGTGTATTGTCTGGTATGACATCAGAGAGAGTCATGTTTGTCACGTTATTACTGGCGTTAATGATAAGTGCCACAACCTCATCACCAACATCAAAAGACGTGAAAGATGTCTACAGCCATATATTCAATGGCTACGACAAACGGGTTCGGCCTGTTTGGAATCAGAGTGACGTCGTATCTGTGACGCTGAGTTTCAAATTAAATTCGATAAACGAATTTGATGAAAAGTCACAGAAACTTGTATTAGCAGGTTGGTTTGATGCAAGTTGGTCGGACGAATCACAGACTTGGAACAAGTCGGATTTTGGTGATGTGTCACATGTATCTGTAGACGGAAGTTCGATATGGCTTCCACAAATTGCCCTTATAAACACATTTGGGCGAGTTAACATTCTTTCACAGTTGGCTTCAAGCGCTGTGATTAACGCCAATGGTGAAGTTGAATGGTTTCCAGGGGATAGTTTTGTCGTGACTTGTGAAGTTGATATCACGTATTACCCCTTTGACACACAACACTGTTCATTGGTTTTCGAAATGTGGGATGCACCTATGTCCGAAGTGATATTACAAACATCATCAAAAGCAATTGACGTCAATTTATTCGAAGAAAATGGAGAATGGACATTGACAAGCTTTGAGGTTGATAACCCGGAATTCGACGATGAGGTATTTATTTCATCCATAACTTATCTCTTCCATCTACAGCGGAGGCCTAAATTCGTTGTCTTGACAACCATTGCCCCAGTAGTCCTGCTGGCGTTTTTGAACGTCTGCGTGTTTCTTATACCCTTGTCTTCGGGAGAGAAGAATTCGTTCTGTGTGACCGTGTACCTATCGTACGCTGTGTTTCTGGGAACAATCAGCTCTGAACTGCCGCACAATTCCAAAGACGCGTCGTACTTGACCATATATTTACTCGCTCTGCTTGTCTTCAGTGTAACCATCGTCCTTGTAACTGTCATACAAGTGCGACTTTTTATTGAATATGACGACACCCCGGTACCGGCATCGGTTGCCAAAATGTTTGGTTGCTGTACACGTGGAAACCGTTCTAAAGTAAAGCATTTTGACATTAACGATCCGGATGATGTGAAAGACAACAGTGTGAAACCATTAGAATTAAAACAAACGAACGAGAATTGTGTTTGTGTGAAAGACATACTGCCGAGACTTGATGTCCACCTATTTTGTTTGTTCCTGGTCATATTGTGTGTGATGACGTCTGTTATGGGCGGCCTGGCCTTTTCGTATTCCCTATGAAATGTTAAAACTTGAACTGCAGATATCGTGTCCTATCTTCATCTTTTACGAGTTTACTGTTTTAGACTATGGTCACCGTGACGTACTCTACT